CCCCAGGAAGTCAGTATCAGAAGTGGAATTTGAACATAAGATAACAACTCTAGAGCTGGAAGGGAGCTGAGGCTATCTAAAGTCTACCCTCTCATTTTTATAGATAAGGAAACTGAGGTAGGTTAGATAACTTGTCAGGATTTGAACCCAGGTTCTCTGACTCTGGAGCCAAAAGGCTTCCTAAAGGGCATCAGAACAACTCCTAGTTGGAAGAGACACTGGCTAAACTCTAGGAATGGTCAAAGCAGGCCATGCCCGTCCTCGGAAAAGAGTGCTTAGAACTGTTTAGAATGGCGGGGTAATTCAAGTAGGATACTCAGTGTCTCTAAATTCTCATATACACTCACTCCTTTTTTTCTTTTTAAGAAGACTGGGAATTCCTATCATGTTCAGGCTAGAAGGAGCTATGCACAGACATGGTCTCACTCTGATGAGCATGGGAGCTTTGACCTGCTCCATTTTCAACATGGGCTGGTTTGTCCTGCCTTAGGCAATGTGGTGGTCCCCATTCCCAGAGGCTCACCCTAGCTGTTCTGGGCGTAGTGCACATATTTGATCAGCTTAGCCCACTACAGCTCAAAACTCCTGAGCTCCAGAGATTCAAAGCCTCCACCTCCCCAGCAGTAGGGATTACTGATGTACACCCTCATGTCTAGTTCAAATACTAACTTAAAGAAGAGTCCTGATAATTCTATGTCTGAACCATAGCTCACATAGGTAATAAGTATCAGATCTGGGATTTGAAACCCAGTTCCTCTGCCCTTTTTACCACACTTACTCAAGATTCTATCATACAGCCTGATGCATTTATGTAGCTTATTTCATGCCCTGTTCTGTGGCTATGGCTCTTTGAAGGGATTTCATAAACTATCTTTCTGAATAATGATAATAATAATAATAATTATTATTATTATTAACTGCAGTAGCAGTTAATATATTGCCCTTTAAGGTTTCCAACATGATTTACATACTCTATCTCACTAAATTCTCATAACACCCAGGTGAGGTAGATACCATTAATAACTCCATTTTACAAATGAAGAAACTGAGGGGTTGAAAAAGATTAAAAGCAACTTGCCCAGAGTCACGTGGATGGTAAGTGTCTGAGGCAGGATTTAAACTCAGGTCTTTCTGACTCTAAGTCAGTTCCAATCTGGATCCTCTTCTCTTCTCTCTCAGCTCCCATCAGTTCAACTATATCTTCATGTAGATGGGGCTCAAATCTACCTATCCAGCCCTCATCTTACTTCTGAGATCCACTTCAGCATCTCTACATGTCTTCTGGACATCTCCATCCAAATGGCCTGTTGGTATCTCCAAAGGTATGTTCAAAATGAAACTCATTATCTTTCCCTTTTTTCCAGGTACATGTCACCAGGGAGTTAAGAAGAGAGGGAAAGGTCCCATGCATACCAAAATATTTATGGCATCATTAATCAGGGTGGTACGAAATGGGAAACAATATGGGCAGACACCCCTTTTATTAGGGAATGACTGAAGACACTGCAGTATATGAATAGAATGTAATAAAGTATCATACAAGGAATTCAGGGAAACTTGAAAAGACAGATGAACTGATGCAAGGTGAATAAAACAAACTAAGAGAACAAGATTCAAAATAATCACAATGAAATACAGAAAGCAATAAGTAGACATCAGAAATAGTTCAGTAGAAAACCAGTCTTGATACCAGAGCACTGATAATGAAACCTATTTGCTTTTTCCAGAAAGAGAGGCAATAGAGTGACTATACACAAATTCAGAGTGCCAAGTATGGTATTAGGCATGGCTAAGGGGTTCATCTTTTCTGCTTAACTATTTACTTTTGTTAAAAGGGACAGTTCTATTGAGAACCAAGTAGAATATTAGGACATGACAACAATGTAAAAAAAATTAAAGCATCAATAAATCATTGAAGGAGACAGCATAGTACAGTGAAAAGAGTACTGGCTCTGGAGTCAGAAAACCTGGGTTTGAACCCATCTTTTGACACATTGGCTATGTTACCTTGGGTAATTCACTTACCCTTTCATCAGGTCTTATTCTCCTCTATATCCCTCCTCTATAAAATGAGAAATTTGGATTAGACTGTTTCTAAAGTTCCTCCCAGCCCTGTATTTATAATCCTATTATTTTAAAAAGAAAAACAAGCAAATGAGAGTATTATACTCTACTCCTGATCTTGAAAACTCCTTCTGGGAGCAATAGTCTAGGTATTTTTTTTTTTGCCCACATTACTGTCAAGAAAATTCAGTTTGGATTGGCGATTTCAGTAACCAAATGGGAACAAAACACTGGCCAGATGACTCTAACCTTTCCTTTAAACAGCCTTGTTCCTCAGCAACAAGTCATGCTGCTGGCTGCACAGACAACCTCAGAGGAAGAGAAGTGAGGCAAATACCTGCATTATGTAGTACAGGAAAAAAAAAACTCTATTGGTCAAATGGTCAAATAACTAAATCATACTGCAATAATGACAAAAGTTCCACCACCACACATTGGTGCAGGGACTCCCTCCCTCCAGTGACACAGATCTGATAATCTGTAGGTTAGCCTCATCATACCATAGTAAGGAGGGACCTTGCATTCTCAAAGGCTATAAAAGCATCTGTCAGGATCTACCAAGCTAAAAAGGCATTGGATATGGGCTTGCCAATGGGTACCAGCTCTGATGTGTGAGGACAAGTCAAGTTAAGTTAGAAATATTCACCTGTAGTGGCATTGGCCACAAAATGATGAAGGTTTTTTTCTTTCTTTTTCTCCTTCCCTTCCTTCTTTCCTTTCTTCCTTTCTTCTTTCCTTCTTCATTCTCTCATTCTTGCTCTCGCCCTCCCTCTGTCTTTATTATAGCAATTTAAACCAGTCATAAATCATAGACTCTTAGAGATAGACAGATCATAGATGCTCTGTAAGGTTCTTTCTTGCTCTGCCATTCTCTGAGTTCTAAGTAAACTTAGTAACCATGAAATTCATCCCTCTCATTTTACATATGAGAGATCAGAGATCTCAAGAAGAAAACTGACTTTCCCAAGATCACATAATCTATTAGTCACTGGTAGAAGTAAGACCCAAATTCAGATCTCTTGATTTCTAGCTCAGTATTTTTTAATTGTATTAAAAAGCTAGGTGGCACAATGCATAGAAAGCTAGATTTGAATTCCAATTCTGCCTCAGAAACTTATTAGCTGTGTGACCCTGGGCAAGTCATTTAGCCTCTCTCAGCTTCTCCTCACCCATAAAATAGGAATGATAATAGCACCTATCTCAAAGCATTGATGGAAAGATAAAAATGAGATAACATGTAAAGTACTTTGTTAACCTCAAAGAATTATATAAATGTTATTGTTAGTATTATTATTACTATTATCAGGCATTAAGATCCTTTAAAAAATCACTCTAATTCTCCACATCATTTTGTGTGAATTGAATGCAATATTAATCATTCAAGATCTTGCAAAGGGATTCTCATTTTGCTATTTATGTTTCCAAAATAGTCACAGTTTTAAAGTTGGAAGAGGCCCTAGAGATCATCTAGGTCAGAGGTGTCAAACTTGCAGGCCCATAGGTGGCAAGCCAGCCAGCAAAATTTGCAAGGAGTGGCCAAGAACCAAATTCAAATGTATTTAAACAAAATAAATTAAAATATAATATGATATAGAAAATATTAATTTGTGGTTTTCTAAATCCATATGCCATCCAGCATCCATTTCTCTTTGAATTTGGTACCAGTGATATGCGGCAATCTGAGAGGCTCAATGATATACCTAAAGCTAGTAAGTGGTAAAGTCAAGATTTTAAGTCCAGTCCTATAGCACTACATCCAGGGTCAGTGGCTCTAGCCTGCAAAGACTGATTTGGACTTGGCTATACAAAGATATTTAGGCTCCTACCATGATTGTTTTAGTAACCTTACCTTGACATTAGAGCTAGGAGGCACATGGCAGACCATCTGGTCCAACACATTTATTGAACAGATAAAGAAACTGAGGACCTGACAGATACAGTAAGTCACGCTGCATCACTCAGCAAGTTAGCCACAAAGCTGGCGCTTGACCTCAGGTCCTCTGACTCCTAGACCATCCTATTCCATCACATTCAATCACTCTCCCTAATTCTGACTCCCCAAATGACCCCAAAACTTCCTCAGGAAGTTCCTAGCCCAGCACATCTTTAGGGCAAAACCACAGAGGGTAATGACCTGCTTCAGCAGTTACTAGAAATCTGGTTTTTTTTTCACTTCTAAAAATCACTTTTTTTTCAATTCTGATTTTATAAAAGGAACCATCTTGTGGTCCCCTGCATTGCACCTTGGGTCCTTCCCTCATTAGCATTCTGTGCATACTATGCTGACCTACTTTCTGATTTTCCTCCCATCCCTCAGCCCCAGGGATGTGGGGAGGCTCTCCTCACAGTACAGTTGCCACTCCTCCCCACATCAGTGTCTGAAGAACAGAAGGGACCATATAATTTTCAGTGACCCATTCAATCTTATTGCCTCTTTGTGCTGGCTTGATTTATGTTGTAATATGATTCTGAGAAGTGGCAATACCCAGAGTAGCAATGGGGTGTCGAGGGGAAGGAAGACGGGATATCTGCCCCAGAAACTTGATTAGAAATCCTTCTTTGTGGTATAGTATAAGAAAAACATCTGGGGAAAAATGTGGGACACTCTACATTTCACCCATATATTTTGTCTGCTTAATGCCAAGCATCTGAATGCAAACATCTGAATGGCTGATCCTTCCCCACCCCCCAACTTTTGAGCCTAAGCCTCAGCCATCACAGACAGAGCTAATGTTTCCCATTCTTATATGGAAGTAAAATAAAAAGATGAATTTATTATGAAAGGAATGGTTTAATTAGATACTGAAAAATCTTTTTAGTATCTCTTTGGCCAGTGGTAAGATGTTTTAAGATGGATCGTGTTTCAAAACGTGCCCAGTGATTCTCATGCACTGGGCATCATTGACTGCTATGACGGGCAGTCACCAGTCACTTACCAGAATCTTTGTGGTATAAGCACTGTTGATGGCGATGGCATTCACCAGCAGCTCCAGGGTTTGGGAGTTGATCACGCTGGGTTCTGGAATCTCCTTGTAGTGGACATCCCCAACATACGCCTGCACAACAGTCATCCGGTTGGTGGTCAGTGTCCCCGTCTTGTCAGAGCAGATAGCTGTTGCATTGCCCATTGTCTCACAGGCGTCCAAGTGGCGTACAAGGTTGTTGTCCTTCATCATTTTCTGAGAGAGAGAAAGGGAGGGAAAAACACAGCCTGCTCACAACTGGCTTTGGCCAAGTGGCAGGAGCTTTAGTGTAGAAATAACTTCCATCATAGCGACGTGAAGCGAAGGGGCCCAGATTCTAAGAAGTATGACTAATCCAATCAAGTGGTTTTAGGATTAATTGGTCTGTTTTCTTTCAATGTGTAAAATCTTGTGGAAAGGGATGTTATTATCAGCCTCAAACATGATTGGTTGGTTTGTTTACCAGTTCAACCACTTCCTCCATTCCCATCTTCCCAAATACGTGGGGGCCCTCAAGCTAACAACACATTGGAAGTAAATAAAAATTAAAATCTTATGAGACTGCTAGAATTGTGTATAGGATCTGGACAAGTAGGCACATAAATCTATCATGAGTAAGGTACCAGTTTGTAACTTGGAGTTGATAGCACTTTTAATCTTGTTCTAAACGGCATCTTTTCTTTATAATTATTAAACAAGGATAGAAATTAGATACATTAGTATTAGTTATATTATGCTATTCATTTAATATTTTACATTTTCACTTTTTATGGTGGGAAAAGAATATTTTTTATTATCTCCTCTTGATGAGAGCCTGTCTTTTGGGTTCAGATAGCTATTTACACACAGCCCTGCCTACTTGATGGCGGATTCTAGAATTTCAGAGATAGTGCACATGAAGAAATAATTTGCCTCTAGAGGGCTACATATTCAAACCTATCAAGTGAAAGCAAATACTATACTGTCTGACAATGAAGAATCTACTTTGGTCAGTATTGGCCATGCCCCAAGGGATTGGGCCAGGAGGGACCAATGCATGAGAGCTCTCCATGGTATGAGCTATGGAACCAGCAGGCATAATCTGGGTGGGAAGTAAACTCATAGTTTATGAGATTAATCAAGGATAAAATAAGTTGATTGGCCAAAAGAGGGCAGTCCTTACAGTAGCTTGCATGAGATAGCAAACCAACAGGGGTTAGAGGTAGGAGGCATATCTGGGGCCAAGAAGAACATATTGGCAATGTTAAAGAGATAGGATCTGAAGGGGACTGACAGAAAAATGTGATCCAAGGACAGGCAAACATTTGAGAAACAGGCTGTCCAGACAGACCAACTTAAATGCAGAATCCATATCCAACATCAATCAATCAAAGCATTGAGTTTAAACACCAGCATATTCTCCCGCTCTGGTTTGGCATGCCAATCCTGCTGTCCTATTGCTTTGAAGGGGCTGCAGCTATGGACAGCTCCCAGACCCCATTGGTGTTTCCCAAAATGAAAAGGATTATGACTAAATGGCAGCAAAGGGGTAGGAGTTTTGACCTGTTCAAGGTACCCATCAGTTATAGGCCTGGAAACATTTTCACTTGAGGACTGGATTACTGAAAAACAACTCCAGGTGGCAAGCCAACTTTTTCATGTTTGAAAAGTAAGTAGAGAAATCAGTCCCCTGTCATAATTACTTGCTGCTTTGGAGGGCAGCTAAGAATTCAAAAAGAATTCTTCCCAGAATTCAGATGACTAGGGCAGTACATACTAGGCCCTACTATTGGAGTTTGGGGTTTTAAATGGGGTGGAGCTTCTCTTCATTTGGTGTACTCTAAAAATGGTAGTGATAAGGTGTATATAACTTACAGTGAGGTAGCCCTTTTTTGGCAACCTTGAAGAGATCCGTTTTCTATATGAAATTACAGCTGGGCACCCAAACCCAAGTCCTAGCTTGGAAACTGGCTCTTGCCATGTACTTGGACGACTGTTGAACATTCTTTTCTATAAAATGAGAACACGACTCCTTGCCTTTCCAAGAATATTTCTCCACATAGGTGAAATCAAGGCCAATATGAAGGTAAAAGTGGAGAGTACAAGAGTATAGAAGAGATAATATCCTAAGTTTGAAGTTGGGCCAGAGAATTTGAATTGAAACTCATATGTCAATGGCCAAGAAAATTCCCATGCCAACTCAGACAAAATGCTGGTCCATTGATTCTATTATTTGGATAACTAGAGTCACCATACAGATGTTAAATGGGAGGATATGATTGTATTCTTTGGTAGGAAATGAAAAGGCAAAAGCTGTACTCCTGACATCTTACTTTTCTTTAGAAACACATTTATGTATCTCTCATTCTTGAATCTGAATTGGGAGGGAGTCTCCTTCAATATTGAGACCCTTGCCACCTCTCATGGCAGTTGGCTCTCTAACTTGAATCCTTGCTCTATGAAGAACAATTTAATTTTGTCTTCAACTTACCTCTTCCAAGCTTCAAGGGGACCCTTGGGTTCCAGTATTATACTAGGATGAGCTGAATAATTCTGTGGAGCAAGAGTTGAGGCAGGGGCTATAGATATGATGCTCAGAGCTCCTTTCTAAGGCAGGTGGAGAGGCTTTATGGGAAAGGGTTGGAGCTTCACATGCCCTCTCCCTGAATGACAGCAGTCATCAGCACACTCTTCTCAGCTGCTGCTGTGACCCCAGGCTCTTGCCAAGCCCCAAGACAATTGTCCCCATTGCCCACCATCTGAGAATGAGAAACACAATGTGCTACAGGGGGCTGCATCACCTGATCGGCTCATCTTTGGGTCCTTTTCCCTTCCTCTTACCTTCACAGAGTAAGCCAAAGAGATGGTGACAGCAAGGGGGAGCCCTTCAGGTACAGCAACCACTAGCACAGTCACCCCGATAATGAAGAACTTGACAAAGTATTGCACATAGACCGGAGTACATTCAGGCAGCCAAGGTTTCTTGTTCACCACAAAAGTGTCCACGGTGAAGTAGAGCACCAGGATAATCACCGTAATGGCAGACATTACAAGGCCTGGAACAAAGGAGAAAACCAACTCAAGGAGATACCAGGGCTCAACCCAGAAATGAATCACAGACTCTCAGCATTCAAAATACAGTCAGATGCTATAGAGCCCAGGTCATACCTAAAAGGAATCGCCTCTATAATATCCCTGTCAAGTGGTCACAGAAGCTTCAGTTGGGAGACCTTGAGAGATGGGGAACCCACAACATCCAGAGACAGTTCATTCCCTTTTTAGATAGTTTCAGATGTTAAGAAGGTAATCCTTACTTCAAGCAGAAATCTACCTCTCCTTACCTGGAATGTTCTTCCTTCACAAACCCTACCAATCCAGCAAGGCCCAGCCTTAGCCTACCTTCAGGGCCACCCATTCTCATTTATCATTCTCATTTCTAAACTCCTGTGGTATTTATGACCTGGGCCATGTAATCTCTTTTGTAGTTTTTCATAGCCTCATGTCTCTTGCTATCCTTTCATATGTGTATATCAGACTTACATTGTATCTCTAATTAGAGTATACACTCCTTGAAGGCAGGAACCATGATTCCTTCTCTCTTTTCCCCAGTGTCTAGGATAGAGTTTTGTGCTTGTTTTTTTTTTTTTTTTGATGAATTGTTTGAAATAAGCAAGTCCTTACCCTGGAAGATGACCACCTGAGGAGCCTTACATAAACATAGTAGGCTCATGTCACTCACTTTGATGACATGGCTCTGTCACTGCCCACCCAGGGCAATCTCTCAGTGCTTCACCTAAGCCTCCTCCTTTGGGATCCATAGAATTGTAGCCCTATAAGATCAGAAGAGACCTTCAAGATTGTTTAGTCCACCTTTCTATAGAGACCCATAAACTGGAAACAATTTATCCAAGGTTACAAAACTAGTGGGTGGCTAAACTGGGATTAGAATTCAATCTTCCATTTCAGTCTCAGCTCTGTCACCAGCTGATTATCATTCATCATGGTGTCTCTGTTCTCCTAGGTCCTTTGGAGGCCAAAATAAGGTCAGTTTTCCTGTGTGATTGATGAACTGGTTCCAAGGTAGCTCTCAAAGAGGAGTTTCGGAAACAGTTTTTATGAGAGTGATCTTACTGGGATGGAGGTCAATATCCACCTTATCAGATATGTCACTAAGGTGACATTCATTTGTAGCCAGCAGCTCTGATGTGGTTTTTACATCATCAGCCTCATTACTTCCTATTCATTCATAATTTCTGCTAAATGTGTCCCTCAGTGACTTCTAAGTGTGTCTCTCCTATCTCCCCCTTTGAATTAATCAGCTCCTTCTACAGCCTGCTTCCAGGGTTTCAGATAAGGCTCTGTCCACAATGCCTATTGGCTTCCTAAACAGGGTACTTTGGACCATGTTCTCATTGCATGCCAATGCAATGGACATTTTTGAGTAGCAACTTTGTGCTGAGCTCAATTCAATAGAGAGGTGGTAATACTCGAAAGAATGAGCCAAAACTCTCAAATAAATGGGATAAAGTTTGTTCTATGTTGCTGCCTAAGAAATAATGAGGATCAATGAGTAAAAATCACATGTGAGCATTAGAGAGAATTTTCTGACATTCAGAGATGTCCAGCCATGGGATATACGACATCAGGAAGGAATGCATTCATTAATTAATAATTAATATTTAGTAAGTGATTACTATGATTGTGGAAGTGTAGTGTGGTCAATAGACATTTGGCCTCAGAGTCAGGAACACCTGGCTTCAAGTCCTGCCTCTAAAAAAAAAAAACCATTAACTGAGTGACCTTGACCAAGTCCCATGACCTCTTAATGCCCCCAGGCAACTCTCTAAGATGATAAGTTACTGAATACATGCTGATTTGCATTAGTAAAGAGAGGTTTCCTCACTGGGAGTTTTCTATTCCAATGAAATTACATTTCTACTAAAAAAGTGAACAAGGCACTGTCTGTGCTTCTCATTGGTGTTGTTTCAGAAGAGTCAGAGTAACTCACCTCATAGAATGTCAGAGGTCAAAGGAATCTTAGTACATAAAATGTCAAAGATGGGAGTGGCCAACCCTCTCATTTTACCAAAGAGGAGAAAACTGAGGGAGAAGGGAAACAATTTGTTCAAGGTTACATACAGAAGGAACACTAGAGCTAAGAATCAGAACCAAGTTTTTTGAATTCAAGTTCAGTGCTCTCTCTATCACATGACTTCTGGATTTCTGAATGGGGAGGTAGGTTGGACTAGATATCTTGTGAGCTTCTTCTCACCCTGTTTATGTCTCTCTAGTCTGTACATGACATTTGGAAAAAAAATAAGAATAAGAATAAGAATATGCAGTTATCTATGGCTTTAGAGTTTGCAATGATAGATAAATAGATAGATAGATAGATAGATAGATAGATAGATAGATAGATAGATA